ATCAGCTACTACGTTAGCCTTAACCGGGTGGTACATGATCTCGCAATCATAATCCATTACCACATCCAACTATCTCCTCTACCACATATTCAAGTTAGGCTGATCCATCAAGTACTTCAGGCTCTTGTGATCCGTGTATATGGTACACCGGACCCCATACATACAGTGGCACCAGTTCTTGAGGGCGAACACTACTGCTCCTAACTCTAGATTGTGGGTGGTATACCTCATCTCATGAGGCTTTAACTGCCTTGATGTGTATGCTATCTCGTGTCCCATCTACATAAGCACCGCTCCCAACCCTGATATCAACACATCATAATATACCACGAAGTCTTCCATTCCCTCCGGAAGGGATAACACCGGGGCTTCGCATAACCTTTGGCGAAGTGTCTCGAAGGAGGCCTGCTGCTCTGGGCCCCATGAAAAAGCAACACCCTTCCAGGTCAACTTGGTTAGTGGCACGGTGATCTTGGAGAAATCCCTAATAAATCTCCGATAATAGCATGCCAATCCTAGGAAACTCCTGATCTCTGTAGGTGACCTCGGTACCTCCCAACTCATCACCGCCTCAAACTTGGCCGGATCGACCAATATCCATTTCTTGTTAACGAGATGCCCTAGGAACTGGACCTCTCGTAACCAGAAATCACACTTGGAGAATTAGGCGTAAAGCCTCTCCGATCTCAAAACTCCGAGGATCTCTCTCAAATGTTCTTGATGTTGTTCTCTGGATCTCGAATACACCAATATGTCGTCAATGAACACGATCATCGAGCGATCCAACATCGGCCTACACACTCTGTTCATGAGATCCATGAACATCGCCGGTGCATTGATGAGCCCGAAAGGCATCACCACGAACTCGTAATGCCCGTAACGAGTCCTGTAACGCTGTCTTCTAGATGTCCTCATCTCGCACCCTCACCTGATGATATCCTAACCTCAAATCGATCTTGGAGAACCAAGATGCTCCCTGTAACTGATCGAACAAATCGTCGATCCTCGGCAACGGGTAACGGTTGTTGACCGTCAGCTTGTTCAATTCCATATAATCAATGCACATCCGGTGTGAGCCATCCTTTTTCTTAACAAAAAGGATAGGCACTCCCCATAGCGAACTGCTCGGCCGAATGAACCCCTTCCCTAGTAGCTCCTGAAGTTGCGAGGATAACTCCTGCATCTCTCGAGGTGCAAGGCGATAAGGTGCCTTGGCGATAGGCGCAGCCCCCGGAACCAAATCTATGCTGAACTCAACCTGCTCTCGAGAGGCACACACGGTAACTATTCCAGAAATACATTCGGGAACTCATGCACTATCGAAACCTCGTCTACTGACCTCGGTCTCTCTGAATCAACTCTCGTATCCATCATATATGCTACAAATCCCTTACAGCTCTGTTGTAGACACTGCCTCGCTCTAGCGGTTGAACAAAATGTCGACCCAGAACGCGTACCCTTGCCGTACACTGTAAGAACTCCCCCACTAGGGTCTCGTATGGTCACCAGTTGTCTCTCGTAGTCGATAACCGCTCCAAACTTGCTCAACCAGTCCATGCCCACGATGACACAGAATTCACAAGAAAAGTACCCACGCATATCATAATATAAGCACAATATCTAAACATAAAAGTAAATATATGAAAGAATAAATACCAACCACGACATCGGGCGCTGTGCGGACTTCTTCCACCTCATCACTGCAATCAGGTCCTGGATCCCATCAAACTCCGGTGGTTTTGTGTTACTGAACTCCCGGAACAACAACGCATCACCACCCTGCGGTCTAGCCGTAGCCACAGCTGCAGTGGCCGCAGCCACAACAACATCAAAAAGAGCAGCGTATCTCTCATCGAATATCTCTATCAGAGTGGTCTTGATAGACCCGAACATCTATGGAATCTCATCGCGGATGGCAGCAGCCACCTCATCATGAATCAGCTGGCGGAGCTCCTCATCGCTCACACCCCCTCCACTGGTCCTTGGTCTGTGGCGTGTCCCTACCATGATGCCTCTTTAAAATACAACAAAAGATATCAGTAATTTGCTCGGATGTACACACACTCGATATCCCAACCCTACTTGACCTCTGGTACCCTAAGGATTCTTACTTGGGTTGCGCACTGACCCGGTGCCTTCGGTAGTACGGGCCCAATACTACCGACCACACCGGCTCAGCATTCACACCAAGTCCTCCTCCTAGATTCCCAAATCCCAAGTACGCTATTCTCTCTAATCATGTGCTACTCACTAGCAGATCTCTCATAAGCTCCTTGCTGCTATCTAAACACTCTCAAGCATCCCTAGTAGCAAAACCCCTAGACTAAAGCATCATATATGAGGCCACTCTAGTCCTAATAAGAATACCTAGTCTTACTCTAGCATGCATAATATAATTCATCATACAACATAACATAACGTTTCTTTTAAAACTTATTGTAAGGGTATTTTGGGAAATCACCGTTCGGGCGTTGGCTGATCGTACACACGGCTCTGCTCTGTTTGTCTCAAAACTCTTTTTACTCTTTAAAAAAATTTACTTTATTATCAAAATTTTCCTCAAATCCTCAGTTTGAGTTCAGATACGCCTGAAGATGCATCCGAATCCCTCAAACCAAGGCTCTGATACCAAATTGTAATACCGTAAAATTTAAAACAAATTTTGCATTTTTAAACACATTTATTAATAAAATCCCATTGTAACATATCTTTCTTTCACAAAATATTTCCCAAGATCAAAATACATAAATCCCATGCGTGTGTACGAGTCATGCCGGCGCCTTCCTGCGATCATCACTCGTACCTGAAACACATAACACATAACACTGTCAGCATAAAGCTTAGTGAGTTCCACAAAATACCATACATAACACATACTAGCCACTCGAGGCTATAACTGTGTGGGCTCGTGGGCCCTAACTCTGTGGACCCTCTGGTCCTAGCTTTGTGAAGCTTCCGGTCCTAACTTTGATATACTCTGATATACACATGACATAAATCACATAGAAATAATGCAGTGCAACACATCACATAATAGCATACAGTAACTCTGTCACATGACTCTAATTACCACTCAAGGTAAAGTATAGTGACAAGACTCACCTCAGATGTCTCGGTAAATCTCTGACTCGGTAGAAATACGATCTAGCCTCCACCTCAAGATGAAGTCTCTGAACTCTGAAATCACCAGATCCGCTCTTCCTTCAGCCTCCTCTTGCCTTGGTCACCTCCTTTTTCCAATCACACCAACAAAATGATTAAAAGTGGCCTCTCCTCCCTCACAAACGCTCTAGATCTCTTAGGATCTCTCTCTGGGGTTTTGGTTTCCGCAAATGACTAGGGCTGGCAATTCTCGACACGACACGCGACACAACCCGCGACACGACACGAAATAAATGGGTTTGGGTTGAGTTTTTCAACCCGCCAACCCGCTAACACGTCAACCTGCCAACCCGTTTATTAAACGGGTCATATATGGGTTTCTCAAAAAATAAACGGGTTGACCCGCCAACCCGTTTATATTCTTAATAAAAAAAAATTATATTTTTAAATGTATTTATGTATCAAGTATTAATATTTAATAAGTATTATATAATATATACAATTTATTCATAGACCATTTGATTGTTTTGACATTATTACTCGTGATGGATGGTCTAAGGTCATAAGTCGTAACCTATAAGACTAAGTCTGTAACATGTTTCTATGAATGTTTTTAATTTTCATTTGGATGTTTAAGACTTAAATATCTAAAATTTGGACCCACGAACCCAAATCTGACCCATGAACCCGCCAACTTGTGAACCCGTATAAATAAATGGGTTGGTGGGTCATATATGGGTTTATGTTCCAAACCCGTCAATCCGTGACCCGCCAACCTGTGACCTGTATAGTTAAATGGGTCGTATTTGGGTTGACATATTTTGACCCGCCAACCCGCTAACCCGCGACACGCCAACCCGAACACGACACGATTGCCAGGCCTACAAATGACGGCCCTAAGGGCCTTTAAATAGGTCCCAAACCCGAAAAATTAGGGTTTCATTAAACAGCGTGGACTCGTCGAGTCCACTCATGGACTTGCCGAGTCCGGTCATGAACCCGGATGAGAATTCGCGACCCTAGTCGGCGAGTCTAAGCACCAACTTGCCGAGTCCCTCTATAAATTCCAAAATAAATGAATAAAATAATATACCTGGGAATCCGAATGTTACAGTTATGGTGAATCTTAACGAAGAGATAACCCAAAAATTTTAAAATTATGTATATCTACATACATATACGTGTGGAGAATGTATTTTCCAAAAATCTCTTTTTTATTTGTTATAATTTTTATAAACTCATATTGTATATAACAAATAATCAATCGCATAATCACAATGCATATATGTTATATAATTTTTTTTATAACACTAAATATTTAAATATTTATATGTCATATATCATTTTCCAAACAACAATTCCTAAAATATACGACAAATCGGACACTGATTTTGTACAATTCTCGAATCCTTCGTATATTTCACAAAAATACATATTCAACCCTTACTTGGAGAGTGCATAAATATTGTGTATACATACAATATTATTAAACAAAAAAAAAAAGAATATACATTAAATCTATTAGAAATACATAACCATCAATAAATTTATATACAAATACATACTTAATTTAATCAATACACACATTTCATACATATTAAAACAAATACATAATATAAATTCATACACCATACATCTATTTAATCTACCAAATACAAATAATTAAATAAATAAATAAATACAAATAAATAAATAAAGCCAGCCATATTTTCTTCCAAGTTACATCCTAAATAAAACCAAACCACACGCAAACACCTCTTCAGTTTGTTCTTCCCATCTAGTGAACATTCAAGGAAACAAGTCAAGGAAAAGAAAGATTAACACTCATACACGCAAAGTGATAACAATCTAATACCCAAACACCTACAACATTTTATTTTCGGACTACATCTTTATTCCTAACGAAGAACCATTTTGTTCTTGCTCTTTTGTATTCCTGCAAACATGAGGAAGAACATCACATTTTTTTTCCTTGCTTCGTTTTCTTTCCCTATCAACAGAAACAACCAATCATTAAAAAAAAAAAAAAAAAAAAAAAACGATTCGTTATGGTCTTCTTCTACCCTTTGCGTAGACAACAAACAGCCAAACACCCTTTTCAATAACTGATAATCTTCTTCTTTTCTTATCAAACATCAACAACCAACCAACCATTTTATTCATTCCATAGATTCCTGTTAAAACAAACAAACACCCCGAGATCATATTGATGATCTGTTTTCTTTCCTGCAATCGAGACCATCCCAGAAACCCAAATCAATTTCTACAAAAAGAATAAAAAAAAATAAGAAGAAATAGAACATGGAGCTGCCAGAGGAGCCCCATTCACTCACCTCCACCGCCGCTGCTAATGAGAGTTCCGACCACCATAGCCCCACACTTAGACTATCTCTTATGTTCCTTGCAACCGATGACCTCCGAAGGTATCATCTTCACTGAGATCGCTGCTCGCGACGCCTCCTCGGACCAATCGACCTCCGTCTCCTCGGACCTTATCTTTGCTCGCATCGAGTAGCCGGAAGGGAAAGAGAGAGAGCCCTCTGCTTTCGTCATGTCTCTTCCTTCGGTTCGACCAAACACCGGAAATGCAACCTCAACCTGCAACCGATCGAAATCCATCGGACCTCGCAGACATCTTCATGTCTCCTTCTCGCCTGCCGACGCGCTCTACCTTCTTCACGATCGGTCATCGACCGATGGAAAATGCTTGATTCCCTCGTGACTTCCTTGGACGATTCGTATCCCCTTTGCTTCAGTTCCCCGATCAGACCAAAAGAAACGGGGTAATGCCCTAATTCCTTTTAAGTGGACCATTAAACACGAGATGTAAAACCGCAAGGCATTTTTATTATGAAATGACTAAAATGCCCCACTATTAAATTCTTTAATTTATTCAAAATAGCTCCGAATCCCCAAAAACTGATTGGATTTATCCACAAACAGCCCCTCATTTGGTTATTTTTAACAAAATAAGTCTCAATCTTCAAACTTTGAATAAAAATAACCATTTTAGCCCCTCCTTTGAAATTATTTTTACCAAATCAGTCTCACTTGGTTAATTAAATTACCAAACAACCCTATACTATAGCGAAGTTATAAATCAATCCCTAATAGTTCAAACTTGTTACACAATGGTCCCAAAAGTATTTCAAAGTTCAAGAATTGTGGAATTACGGTTTCTTACGTCAAGGATCTCAAAAAAATCGAATTCGAATGATCGGAACTCACGCTTCAAGGGTGAGTGCTTACGTCCCCTTTTAATATTTTAATCGTTTCGCGCGTGTGGAAGGGGGGGGGGTGAATACATGTGCCAAAATATTTTGTTTACGCAAAATAATTTCCTTTTTATGCGAAAACACGGTAAATCTACTTATAAAGATATTATTAATCAACAATTTAGTATATTGTTATTGATAAACTAATATAAAATTTTCGTACATGTATTATGGTTATTTTATCGTGAAATAACTAGTTCACTCAACAAGTACTACATGATATAAAACATAAGATTTTTATGTGACATTGTATATTATAACTAGCATGTTATATAATTTTATAGTATTTTAAGAATTCAAACTATTACTATGCATGTTTGTATATATTTTTAAGTACAGAACATGTATACATGTGCGTATGTTCATTAATTTGAAACATTCATTTTTATAAAAGATAGACCATTACACTTTTACACATGTCAAACATACTCGACTTTTATTAACTTTATACAACTATATTCATTATGCCTAGTGAGTTAATCACAATTAAGTTAGGGTTGAGAACTATTCACAAACTTTTTAGTTAAGGGATTTTTAGGGAGATGCTATCCATTAGTTGAGTTTTAACACTTAGCATACCCACACTATTATAACCGTTAATCTTCGGAGTGAGATACATATGTATAGTTTGTTTTTCAAGTATGGAATTATTTTTGTATCAATATAGTTTGTTTTTCAAGTATATTCAAAGATTCTTTAGAGATATGGTTTTTAAGTATGCATTTACTTATACAAAGATATATTTTGGCTTTTAAAGACTCCTGGAAAACACTGTTTCAATTATTGTTATTCATACAAAGATAAAACTTTTTAGACTTTTTAAAAAGTGTTACTGCTATTAGCAGAAAACCTGTAACTCTCACTAACTTTGTGTTGACCCTCAAAACTCGACGAGTCACTGTGTGACTCGGTGAGGGGACAATTACTTCAAGGAACTCGGCGATTAGTTGAGGGTACTCGGCGAGTTAAGGTCAACATGTAGTGTTGACCTTGATTGATTACTTTGATTTTTGACCAGGGATTTGATTAGTTGACTGTTGGGGTACCTTGTAAGGTTAGGAATTTATGGGTATAATAATATTATGGTAATAGGTGGTTGAGCTTTTAACAGTGATCCAAGAGTTGGAATTCATCTACTGAGTCAACATCTGCAAGGTGAATTGTCCTCACTATATCAATAGGGTCTACGGCACCAAGGCCGGTCCTTAAGTTGTTATTGTTATGATGTGCTACATGTGGTTACGATCTGTTAGATCGGAATCAGGATAGACAATAGATGATGCTCTTATGATCCGTAGGGATTGGTATGTTAGTGACCTAATAAGTCGGTACTCTAGTTACTAGGGGTTTATATGATCGATGATCAGTGAGATAGATATGTTTGATGTTTGTATATGTAGTATATGATAGTTCTGTGCACTCGGTTATTTGCTTGTTGGTTGGGTTGAGGCGGTTCTGCTTTGTGCTTAAGGCCAACATACCCTATTTGTGGTCCGGGCAGACTGAAGGCCCACATGGCAGTCCGGTCATACCGAAGGCTCGGGACAGATTCAGTTAGACTGTAGGCCCCACCGGGTGGTCCAGTCAGGTCGATGGCCCAGTATGCATTTTGTTAATTATCTGTTGTTGATATGGTATTATCAGTGTGGTATTGGTATTTTGGGGGTACCTCACTAAGCTCTCGGGCTTACAGTTTCTGGTTTATTGTTTTAGGTACTTCAAGAGATCATGGCAAGGGGAAGGCGTGACTGTACCGCTCCTCATCCTTTTGATCTAGTTTTTGGAACACTCTGATGAATAATGATTTGAAATCATTTTGTAAACAAATACTAATTGGTTTTATTTATCATTTAAATAGTTTAAATTTGGCGTAAAATTTTTCGATGTTAAAAGTTGGTATCAGACCCTTGGTTTGGGTGAATTGGAGGAGCACTCGCCTGAATCCAATCTCAAATCAAGGGAATTTTCGAAATAAATACTAAAATGGTTTTCAAAATAAGGATGGAGGATGTAGAGGGTACGATCATCCGGAGCCTGTAAGTAAACCCCAAAATACCATATAGTTATTTGATATTATGATATGATCGAACAACATGCTAGTGCTAGGCTAGGAGTCTTCAGGTTTCGCATGATAAGACTTGCCTGATTATATGATGCCTACTAGCCTAGGGTTTCTTGTATATGGAATTAACATCATAATTGTAGATGTTTAGTGTGTGCATCACGATTATCTATAATTAAGATCTTATAGCCTGAGAATGTCTGATTCGACCTTAATGTAGGATTGGCTATTTAAAAGTCTATTGGGTCCAGCGTTATATGTGGCTAGCATACACTAGTACTGTAGGGTTGGTGAAAGCTCCATGGATGTGCAAGCTGTAAGAAGCTGTGAGACCAGTTTCGAGATAGTCGATATTCCCATAGGAGCGAGGGTTGAGCACATATTATGTTGATAATAGTGTTAGGACGTTGTGATGATACTTGAGACAAATATGGGTAGGTGTGGAAGGTTGTATGGGCTCGTACTATTGAAAGCATAGGACCCATACGCGTAGCAAGGAAGTCACAACCCCTAGGGTTTTGAGAATTGGTCTCCCAATATCATGTCAATTATCTAATGTCTTGGTTATATTTTTCAATATGGTGCTGACGAGATGTTTTTCTACTAGATCCGGTTCCGGGTCAGGATCAGGATGAGGATCGGGAGATGGGGGGTCGGAGGTGCCAGTAGCATGTGAGCCTGAGTCGAATAAACTAAAAACGAATTAAACAGACCAAGAAACACCCTTACGAGGGCCTTAATTTTTATTTTGCCCCGGGCCTCAAATTGGCTTGGAATGGCCCTGTTCGTACATATAGGGACACAGGAGTTGGATGCCAGGATCCGAGAGATTCTGCATGATGAGATTGTTGCGGCGTTCCGAGCGTAGCAGTTGGAGATGTTTTTGTCGATTAAGACCGCTATGGTTGAGTAATTTGATCAGTGGTATGTAGCTTTAGCAGAGACAGCAACCACAACAGCCACAACGCCTGTAACTACGGTAGGGGTTGGAGGAGGATCCGTCGGGGCTTTCTAGTATCGGGACTTCGATAACACGAAGCCCTGACGTTTGATGGTACGCAGGATGAGATCAGAGATATGAGGTGGTTACATGATGTGGAAGGTTGTTTCTTCAGGTGTTCATGTCCCGCTGACCAGAAGGTCAGGTGTGTCGTGAACCTGCTGAGGCTTGGGGCGAAGGATTAGTGGAGATTGACGACAGGGTCGTACACTAATGATCAGCGAGCTGCTGCTACTTGGGAGCAATTATGGGATATGTTCCGCACCCGCTACGCTCCACGCGTTGAGCGGGAGAGGCTTGCTGAGGAGTTTTTGACTTTCAGGAAGGATGGGGAGTCAGTGATGGCGATCACTCGTATGTTCACAAAAAGGGCTATGTTTTGACTAGAGTTTGCTTCAGAGCAGTCTCAGATGACACGTTATCTGAGTATGCTCAAGATGAATATTCGACAGTTTGTTGATATGCAACGTTGAGAGACTCTTTTGGATGTTCAGGAAGTCGCGAGGCGGCGTGAGTTAGAGATAGAGCTATAGTTAAGGGAGCAGCTTCAGGTTCCGGCATAGTCTCAGCCGGCAGCTAAGCGGTCCAAGACCGCTAATACTCGGGTTGGGGGTTAGCAGAGCTGCACTTGTGGAAAGTGTGGTAGGGGTCATTATGGGGTTTGTTGAGCAGAAGGTGGTTGCCACAAATGTCGCAAGGAGGGGCACTATGCCAGGGACTGCCGCCAGTCCGCCCCTCCTTCAAATATGAGGATTTGTTACCATTGTCATCAAGTTGTTTACGTGAAGACCAACTGTCCGCAGCTCACCGCCAAGCCAGCGTAAGGATCCGCATTGGCTACTTTGAGGATTAGGGATGGGAGGCCAGTCAAGGTGGAGCCTCCGAAGGTTCAGGGGCGTGCCTTATAGCTTACAGCCGAAGAGGTGAAGGCAGCACCAGATGTGGTTGCAGGTATGTTTCTAGTAAACTCTTTGCCTGCTTTGGTTCTATTCGACTCGGGGGCGAGCCGGTCGTTTGTATCTCAGGCTTTCTGTAGAGAATTTAAGGTGTCGGTAGATTAGCTTGAGTGTCGGTTGCGAGTTTCGATCGCCAACGAACACGAGATTTCTGCTTCTGCGGTCTACCGACGATGTGAGTTGGAGATTTTCGGGGTATCCTTCCCGATATATTTGATTCCTATTCCCATGGGGTATGTTTTGTGTGATCCTAGGGATGGATTGGCTCAGTCGGTTTGGAACTATGATCGACTGTGAGGGACAGCGAGTGGTAGTTCGAACCCCAA